GAACTTGTCTACTCCAGAATAGGAGAAACATCGTAGTCAGCTCTTTGCTCAATCGACTCCTGTTGTCTCAATGCACGCTACAAATATGAACAACACTCTGTGTAATTTTTATAATGGATCTCTTTCTCTCTCTCTTTGAATTCTCGCCGTCTCAAGAGCCCCCGAAGATTCAATACAGCATTATCGCCGCGGCGGTCTTTTCCTCTAGCGCCGGAATTGTCTCCAGGCGTTCGATCTTGTCTCGTCCTGAACCCCAGCCTACCAACGCTATGCTGATTAAATGCACCACACCGGCGCACACAACCAGCCTGAAAGAAAAGCAACCTTAGAAGCAAAATCACAGAGAGACACCTGTAAAAACCTACGTGTTTCTTTCCATTCCATTTTTTATATTATATCTCTCTAAAATCAGTGTCAGTGCATGTAAGAATAATAATAAGTATGTAGATAGTTGCGATAGATCTTTGCAAATTTATATTCAAACAGAAATTTGTTCGCATTTGTTATTAATATGTTTTCTAAATTTGCACAAAATTTTTCACAAATGCGTAAACATTCGCAACATCCTCTCCTTAATTTCTAAAGTGACAAAGCAACGTTTAAAAGACAGAATATTTTACGTTGAAAAATTTTACGTTAAGCTTAAAAGTGGCTAGTATTTTACCAAGCCGCAAGTTTTATAATTCGCATTCATTTCTCGCGATTTGAAAGCGCTGAAAATCGAAAAAACATTCACAATATCGAGCATGGCCTGCATAAAACTTGCCAACAAGTACAAAAATGCGAGATCATCGATGAAGCTTGGTCGAGGTATTCTACTGTGAATGCATCCACGCTATATCGAGCAGAATGAAAAGTCTCTTACCAAAATGAATAACCAAGCTCCGCGGAACCTTCGCTGGTCCACATATTGTCGATGTCCTCCTTCGGAAGCACGTTGAAGTATAGCTTCGTGTAATACTGAGCTAGCCAAGTGCTCGTACTCGCCATGCACATTAACACTGAAAAATATACTGTAATGTAAATAATCTCTAATAAATTTTATTTAATTCTTATACACTCGATGAACTTACTTTTCTTTTTTTTTTTTTTTTAATTTCTTTAAACTGAACTGTTTAGTTGAAGT